CCTTCCTCCCAACATTTGAAATTTAAATCACATAAGGATTCAACCAAAAACAATAACTAAGAGCATCCAAAAGCCAACATATTTAACAAAGGTCAAAACCTAACACATCCAACACAGTTCTTAAAAAGCGACCACATGCAACATAAATCACACACTCCCATTTCCACTATCCTGATCATGGAATATCGATCTTGGTGTTTTGGAAGCCAAGTTCTCTCCACGAGTGAGCCCTCAATAATATCTTGACATGTCATCAACCCCTCTCGCGTCCATGAGCATGATCCTCTCTACTCTTGCTCCTTCCTCTTGTTCATCTCCTTCTTTGCCATGATCATCAACCACTTCTCCTTGGTAGCAACCATATGTTCCTTCGTCATGGGCGTCATCTCCTAAAATCTTCATCAAGCGTGTGTGCCTCAGTAAAATATGTTTGAGCTCCAACCACCCAACCATCTTCTATTGCTTGTGTTGGGCGTTGGGCTACCGCAACCCCTTCCTCCTATTGATCCACGCATTGAGTTCTTCTTTGTATCCACCCACTCTACCATCCTATTTAGCATCTTTCTCTTTTTTCTCCCATCTAGCCGAGAGCTTGGAGTGGGGCTTCTCCCCTCATCATCCTCACCCTCGTCATCCTCCTCGAGATCAATGGAAGATGATACACTCAATCTTGACGTGCTCGGTGTTATTGTTTCATAATTTCTCCTCGCCCACTTCACATTTCCTTTAAGAGGATTGTAACAATGCAACAAAGTAAATGGCTTGTTCCCATTCATATTGAATTGTTCCTACACAGCTCTTGGTTGTAGATGCCATACTCATCAATTGCCGCTCCAATAGAAGGTGTGATCTTCACTTGATCAACACATCCCGAGCACCGGTTGCAACCACCTTGAATTACACTCCAGCATTGTGCGAGAGAACTTTGCGTGTGGTTGGAGAGAACCTTGACGTTGGTTGCATACTATTCGTCGATCCTCTTTCAAAATGTTTCTGAAGGAAATATTCCCTAGAGGGAATAATAAAGTTGTTATTTTATATTTCCTTATTCATGATAAAGGTTTATTATTCATGATAGAATTGTATTGATTCAAAACTTAAATGCATGGGTGTATACATAAACAAATACCGTGTCCCTAGTGAGCCTCTACTAGACTAGTTCGTTGATCAAAGATGGTTAAGGTTTCCTAACCATAGACATGTGTTGTCACTTGATAACGGGAGCACATCATTAAGAGAATCATGTGATGGACAAGACCCATCAGTTAGCTTAGCATATGATCATTCAGTTTATTGCTATTGTTTTCTTAATATTAAATACATAATCCTTTGACTACGAGATCATGCAACTCCTGGATACCGGAGGAATACCTTATGTGCTATCAAACGTCATAGTGTAACTGGGTGATCATAAAGATGCTCTACAGGTATCTCCGAAGGTGTATGTTGAGTTGGCATGGATCAACATTAGAATTTGTCAATCTGTGTATCGAAGAGGTATATCTGGGCCCTCTCGGTAATACACATCACAAGAAGCTTGCAAGCAAAGTGACTAAGGTGTTAGTTACGAGATGATGTATTACGGAATGAGTAAAGAGACTTGCAGGTAACGAGATTGAACTAGGTATGAAGATACCGGCGATCGAATCTCAGGCAAGTAACATACCGATAGACAAAGGGAATTACGTATGTTGTCATAAGGTTCGACCGATAAAGATCTTCATAGAATATGTAGGAACCAATATGGGCATCCAGGTTCCACTATTGGTTATTGACCGGAGAGGTGTCTCGGTCATGTCTACATAGTTCTCGAATCCGTAGGGTCCGCACGCTTAACGTTTGTTGATGATATAGTGTTATATGAGTTATGTGATTTGGTGATCGAATGTTGTTAGGAGTCCCGGATGATATCACGGACATGACAAGGAGCTCCAGAATGGTCCAGGGGTAAAGATTGATATATAGGACGATGATATTTGAACACCGGAAGTGTTTCGTGAGGTACTGGGTAGTTAACGGATTACGGAAAGGGGTTCCCGGAATCCCCGGGAAGTTATATGGGCTTAATGGGCCAAAGGGGGAACACACCATCCCACAAGGGGCTGGTGCGCCCCTCTTCCTGGCCGTCGGCCCTAGGGGAAGAAAAGGGAGAGGGTTCGTGAAGGAGTCCTGGATTAGGGGGTCCTCGGACAACCAGACTATATACTTTGGCCGTACTGTTGGACTAAGAAGATACAAGATTGAAGACTTCGTCCCGTGTCCGGGTGGAACTCTTCTTTGCGTGGAAAGCAAGTTTGGCAATTCGGATATGTAGATCTCCTTCCTTGTAACCGACTCTGTGTAACCCTAGACCCCTCCGGTGTCTATATAAACCGGAGGGATTAGTCCGTAGGACAATGTAACACCCCGGATATGATTTACCTAATATGTAGTCCAACTCTTGCCGTTTCCGGCGTTAAGTTATTTTATTTTCTCGGGTTCGGGTTTTTGTCTCCGTGTGTTGTTGTCATTGTCATGCATCTCATATCATGTCATCATGTGCATTGCATTTGCATACGTGTTCGTCTCATGCATCCAAGCATTTTTCCCGTTATCCGTTTTGCTTTCCGGCGCTCTGTTCTCCTCCGGTGGTCATTTCTACCTTTCTTTCGTGTGTGGGGGTTAAACATTTCCTGATTGGACCGAGACTTGCCAAGCGGCCTTGGTTTACTACCGGTAGACCGCCTGTCAAGTTTCGTACCATTTGGACTTCGTTTGATGCTCCAACGGTTAACTGAGGGACCGAAAAGGCCTCGTGTGTGTTGCATCCCAACACCCCTCCAATTTGGCCCAAAACCCACCTAAACCCTCTCCATCATCCAGAGCGCTCGATCATGATTGCGTGGCCGAAAACCGCACCTCATTTGGACTCTCCTAGCTCCCTCTATGCCTATATAAAGAACCCCCTCCGAAATTCACGGGTGAAACCCTAACCCTCTCCATCTCCTCGCGACCGGACAAAAACGCCACCGACGGACATGTCCATTTCCACCCCGCCGCCGCCACTTGTCGCCGCCTGATTCGCCCGCCCAGGTGCCCACTTCGCTGCCGCCAGGGCCCGCGGGACCCGCGTCCGGCCCTCCCGGCCCGAAGAGGCGCGCCGCCCGCCGCCTCCCTTCTTCCTCCCGCGCAGTGAGCCGCCCGGCCCTCCCTCGCGTCCGGCCGCCGCAAACGCCATCGCCGGCGAGCTCCAGCGCTCCCTCCGGCCGGCACCGCACCACCACCGCCTTCTCCTCCGCCGCAGCCGCACCTCCCCGCCGCCCCTCCGGTTCGGATCCGGCGGGATCCGGCGCCCCAACCTCGCCGACCCTCTTCCCCGGCGGCCTCTCCGTCGAGCTCCGGCGCCGACCCCGGCGATCCTCGATCCGCGCGCCGACGATCCAGATCTGATCCGGACAAACCCTAGGGTTGACTTATTTTTTTTCTCCAAGTCCTAGATTTTTTTGCAATATTCATCGTGTCGTACCTTTGCATCCGTAGATCTGTTTTGGGCATATAGCATATCAAAATGTTCGTCTCAGA